CAAAACTTGTAAATTCCAAGCTCGTTTGAACAGGTGTAAACTCATAGACCTTGGCTATTTAGGCCCACGTCTCACTTGGACCAATGGGCGACAAGGTCTGGCTAACACCCTGGAAAGATTGGACCGTGCTGTTTGTAATACTGAATGGAGACTTCAATTCCAAGAAGGAGAAGTGAGGAACCTTCCGAGGACATACTCTGACCATTCTCCTTTGATCGTCTACACCGAAGGTATTATTAATCCTACACCTCTTTTTAAACCTTTTAGAATGGAGGCTGCTTGGTTCACTAATCCTAGTTTTAGAATTTTAGTTGAGGAGTCTTGGACAGCTGCTGATAACTCCATCTTGGAAGCCATCCTCTCGATTACTTCTAAAGCTTTATTTTGGAATAAAAATATTTTTGGTAATATTTTTCAAAACAAACGATGGCTTCTTGGTAGAATTGAGGGCATCCAGAAAGCTCAATCCGCTAAGTTTTCTCATAACTTGTTTCTTCTTGAAAAAGAGCTGATTCACGACTAATAAAATTCTTTTCCAAGAGGAATTACTCTGGTTTCAAAAATCCCTTAGTAATTGGATTACCATGGGAGAACGTAATACTAGATTTTTTCATATGGCCACTTTGACTCGTAGAAGGAATTCACAAGTTAACACTTTGAAAGATGGTGGTGGCAATTGGATCTCTGATCCTATTATTTTGAAAAATCATGTTGGGAGTTACTTTGAGGAGATGTTTACCTCCATCTCCGCATCTTCTAAGTCCAATTGGGTTCATGGGATGCTATCCAAGTTCACATTGGATGAGAATATTGAGCTATGTGAACCTATCTCCAACATTGAAATTTGGAAAGCTATGAAGTCTATCAAGCTTTTAAGGCCCCAGGTTCTGATGGTATCCAATCTCTTTTTTATCACACCTATTGGGATATTGTGGGTTCCTCTGTTTGCAATTTTGTTAGGACCTGTTTCTTCCTTAGAGATTTTCCCCCTGGCATTAATACTACACTCATCACTCTCATTCCCAAGGTTGACAATCCCGAATCTATCAACCAGTTCAGACCCATCAGTCTCTGTAATGTCCTTCACAAAACTCTTACCAAGACTTTGGTTAGCAGACTTAGAAATCTCCTAGTTAGAGTGGTCAGCCCCAATTAGAGCAGCTTTATCCCTGGTCGAACCACCAATGATAACATCATTATTGCTCAAGAAATCATCCATACACTCAGATTCAAAAAGGGCAAGCAGGGTGACATGATTTTTAAAATTGATCTTGAAAAAGTATATGATAATGTTTCTTGGTCATTTCTGCATGACACGCTGGTTGATTTTAATCTAAATCAACAGTGGATTGATTTTATTATGAACTGTGTGACCAAGGTTAGATTTTCAGTTCTGTGGAATGGCGAACGGGTGCGTGAGTTCCATCCTAAGAGGGGTCTCCGTCAAGGTGATCCCCTCTCCCCATATCTCTTTGTCCTTTGTGTGGAAAGGCTCTCTAACTTGATTACTACTAAAGTTAGTAGTGGTGAGTGGAAGGATGTCAAAGCATCTTCTAGAGGCCCTGCCATCTCACATTTGTTTTTGGCCGATGATCTCCTCCTTTTTGCTAAGGCTGATAATAGTAATTGTGAAACCATTTTGGGAGTGTTAAATCACTTCAGTGATTGCTCAGGTTTGAAAGTCAACCTTACTAAATCCAAAATTTTTGTTTCTCCAAACCTGCCTCCTGTTAAGGCTAGGTTTTTGAGCAATAAGGGTGGTATTCCCCTTATTCAAGATTTGGGTAATTACCTTGGTATCCCACTTCTGCATAATAGGGTGAGTAGAGCCCACTTCTCATCTATTTTTGAGAAGCTCCAAAATAGACTGGCGAGTTGGAAAGCTAGTATGCTTTCGGTTGTTGGGAGGGCTACTCTTATTAAGTCTGTAAATTCTGCTCTCCCCGCTTATATGATGCAAACTATGGACGTACCCTCAAAGGTGTGCAAAGACCTGGATCAACTGAATAGGAACTTTCTTTGGGGTAATGTGGGCACCACTAAGAAAGTCCATTTGGTTAAGTGGGATTTGGTCTGTAAGAGCAAAAAAGTGGGTGGTCTTGGTATTAGAAAAACCAAGAGCAACAATATTGCCTTACTGTATAAGCTGGGTTGGAAACTTATTAATGGTGAGCCGTGTCTTTGGGGCACTGTTTTGAAAGCTAAATACCTCAATGGGGAATCTCTTCTTAACTATTCTAGTAAGAGAAGGGCCTCCCACACTTGGAGGGGTATTCTTAAAACCTGTGCTACTATTTTGAAAGGCTGTAAGTGGAGCATTGGTGATGGGTCTAAGGCCTCTATCTGGTTTGATTGGTGGTGTGGTGAGGGTCCTTTGGCTTCTCTTTTTCCTCACTCTCACCTCATCAATTAAGATTAGGTGGAAACTATCTTGGATGAGGTAGGAAGGTGGGATATTGATAAAATCTCCACCATTTTGCCCAAGGAGGCTTTGGACCTTATTTTGAAGGTTCACCTCCCTAGGTTTGTTACCTTTCCTGATTTACCGCATTGGAAAGGCTCTAGTTGTGGTATTTTTACTACTGCTTCAGCTTATGATTTGGTTTGTGATTCTGAGGTGGAGTCTATCAATTGGCTTTGCCTTTGGAAATTGAAGCTTCCTCAAAAACTCAAGGGATTTCTTTGGTTAGCTTTGCATCATAGATTGTTGACTAATGAATTAAGAGTCCGAAGGGGGCTGTCTGACTCTGCTGTTTGTGTGAGTTATGGTGATCAACTGGAGGATGTTGATCATATTTTTAGAAACTGTCCCAAAGCTCGTCCTATTTGGTTTAATTTAAACTGTGCAAGTTGGTTGTTTAACTGCAAGCATCTTTCCTTTAATGCTTGGCTAGAATCTATTTTGAAGGCTAAGTATTCACCTGTGATTGGCCATACAACCTTTGTTGTTACTTTGTGGCAAATTTGGAAAAACTGAAATCAGTTTATTTTTGAACATGTTCACACTCCTTGGCAGCACAGCATCTTTTCTATTTTGAGATATGCTTCTTATATAAACGATGATTTTAAACATTCTTTTGCTCTTCCTTTATATGATAGATTGGTTATGTGGACTCCCCCTGTTTCAGGAACTTTAAAAATGAACACGGATGGAAGTGCCAGAGGTGACCCAGGAGATGGCAGCTTTGGTGGTTTGATCTGCGATGAGCAAGGAATCTGGATTTGCGGTTTCTACAGGAAGCTTATGAACTGCTCGTGCATTGAGGCAGAAATTCGGGCCATATATCGTGGTTTGACAATTGCTTTTTAAAAGGGTTACAAGGATCTGATCATAGAAACTGACTCCATGGACGCCATTCACATGCTGAAGGAGAAAGTGGAGGTTATTTCTTCTTTGCACAGCCTGGTGGAGGACTCAAAGTTTCTTATCTGCAGATGTGGCTACACTCTCCAACACGTTTTGAGGGAGGGCAATTTGAGTGCTGATGGCCTGGCTAAGATAGGTGCTGATCAAGATGAACCACTTGTTGTTATGGAAGATGCCCCGGATGGCATCCGCAGTCAAATTGTGGCAGACATGATTGGGCGCAACTCCCGTAGGCAGAGCTCTTCTATTCCATAAGTAGTTTCTGTTTTTTGTTTTTGTTTTTTTTTTCATAGAAACTGACTCCATGGACGCCATTCACATGCTAAAGGAGAAAGTGGAGGTTATTTCTTCTTTGCACAGCCTGGTGGAGGACTCGAAGTTTCTTATCTGCAGATGTGGCTACACTCTCCAACACGTTTTGAGGGAGGGCAATTTGAGTGCTGATGGCCTGGCTAAGATAGGTGCTGATCAAGATGAACCACTTGTTGTTATGGAAGATGCCCCGGATGGCATCCGCAGTCAAGTTGTGGCAGACATGATTGGGCGCAACTCCCGTAGGCAGAGCTCTTTTATTCCATAAGTAGTTTCTGTTTTTTGTTTTTTGTTTTTTTTTTCCTCCGTTAGCCTTTCTATTTTCTGATGTACCCAAAAAAAAAAAAATCAACAGTTGAGAGATTAAAAAAATAAAATTTAGGGCATAAGTAACTACTCTTACGCATTTATATGTGTATATATATATATATATATGACATTTACACTAGTCTTGTGTTTGCTTTATATAATCCAATGTTAACCTAATTTACATATAATAGATTGATTGATTCTGGAACCTTATTCTTGTCGCCAGCTTTAGCACTTTGCACATGAACGTTAACTTTTATGCTGTCTATTCTTTCCATCTTTTGGTAATACCCACATGTTGACACTCTAATTAATGTATGTTGCCTTACAATATAAAAAATAAAAAGATAAATTATAATGACCTTGTCTGAAATTTAAAAAAATAAATAAATGTACATGTGGCATAATTACATTAAACTCTCTTAAAATTTTAATTTATATAATACTTAATTCCTTTTCTATTAGTAATTCTTTAATGGGTCATGTTTGTCACAAGTTGAAATCAAGACTGGACCCGTTCAGTTTGGCTTATGGGGCCCATTTTTGGGCCCGTTTTGATAATCCGAACCGTTCAATGTATAGAACTCGTCGAATACTACATGCCTATAAAATCACGTTGATCGGATATCAATAACTATGTGATCAAATCAGTTTTGTATAAAAAAATGGACAGTGAAACAATTAACGGTTGATAAAAAATTGTTTGTTCACATAGCTATCGATATCCGATTAACATGATTTTTTGCAGGCATATAGTACTCAACGAGTTCTACACATTGAACGGTTCGGATTATCAAAACGGGACCCATGGTGGGCCCCCATGGGCCCAACAGCACAGTCCAGTCCGATCTTGGACTGGACCAAAGCCACTGCCTTCTTTAATTATGAGTAAAAAAATAATGTCATCAATTCTTTTACACTAAAATATATTTTTTATCTTATTTATCTTTATATCTTCACAACATCTACATTAATTTAGGTCCAAACAACCTTATTAATAGAGAGATCAGTATAATTATGCCAAAACTATACCACTTACTAAATTTTCTCTAAATCTCAAAAGAGATCAATATAATTTACCAAAAAAAATTCTTTCAATTCTCTCTCTGTCTCTCTCTCTCTCTCTTCACAAATCTAAAATCAAACACAGCAGCCTAGGAGTTTCTTCATCACCCCTTGGAAAGAAATCCTATAAATAACCTAAACTTATTCACTAGCAGTAACATACAGAAGCTGCCTACAGCAATATATAGTTAGATCTGCCCCCCAAAAATGACAGCACAATTATTTGCCTTGCTCTTCTTCTTCATTGTTATAGCCAAAGCTTTGCCATTTCATTCATCCCAAAGCACTTTCACCTCCAAAACTAGGGGTTCTGAGCCTCCTGTCTTGCACCAAAATCAACTGCAAAGTAAGTCTTCATTCAAATTCTATATATATATATATCAGGCTTTTGTCAAATTTAATTTTAAAAACGTGTTTAGATTTAGTTTGTTTATTTCTCATTGTTTTACGGCAAATGGTTATGAATGAAATCAATTTCATAAGCTTTCACTAATGCTGTGTTTGGTTGGGGGATTTGGGGAGGGATTTGGAAAGGGAAAGGGAAAAGGTGTGTGAAACTAGCTGAAATGTAGATACATTTTATTTACATTTCACTTAACTTTTCCCTTTCCCTTTCTAAATCGCTCGTCAAATCCTCCAACCAAACACAGCGTAAGTACGCCGAGTGTATTAGCTCATTCTGGTATTAGTTGTGCTGACAGGTACAGATAATATGATTATTGAATCGAGTAGAGGACAAACAAACGGAGGAGGGCACGAAATTGTCCGTGCAAAGAGAGGAGCAAATGGTGGTTCCACTATTCTTACACAGCCTCGGAACAATCACAGTGGTGCAAGCCCCTCCTTACTGGTGAAGAATCCATTTCCAACACTGCTTGAGCATGTTTCCACGGCCTTGCTTCTTTCTATTTTCTTCTTTTGATTCTCTCTCTCTCTGGTGTGTTTCATTTGATTCTCTCTCTGGTGTGTTGTTTGGATCATGGATTCGTCTTTTTGAGGACCTGGGAAATAATATTAATAAAGATAATAATAGTACATCGTCAAGACTTCAAAGGGTCATCCCAACCAAATAACAAAACAAACAGACAACAAAAAAAAAAATTCGCCAAAAATATTCAGGAAAAACATCGATTTGTTCAAAGATGTGATCTGGAAAGCAAGATCTGCTTGAAAACTTGCCGTCCCCGTTGTTGCTACCCAACTCTTCCACCGTTGCCGCCGGAGAAGGAAGGACATCCACAATGGTATGGAAAAAAGGTTGAGAGAGGAGGGAACTATTGTGGATGTTGAAAAAACCAAAAATCTATGCCGAAATTGAGGAAAAAACACTCAAAACTCTTATTTCGGACATAAAAGTTCAGATATATACTTTAAAATTATAAATTTATACTCTAAGAATGTAGATCTACACTTTGAAAGTGTAAAAAGAGTCGCCGAAATGTCGTCGGATAACCACTGGAGCATTGCGGAAATCTCTCAGAGAGAGAGAGACTCTCTCTCTGGGCTTACTGGCCTGCTGAGTCATGGATTTGTCATAGGCCAATAAATGGGAAGCAAAAAGAAAAAAACTTCAACTTCATACACTTTCTTTTCATTTTCTTCTCTCTCAACAAATTCAGGATCCAGACACAAGAGCAAATGACTATTATATAACTATTCAGGGGAAAAAACATTGTTTAGAGAATTTTTGATGTAATCTTGAAATAAACTGGTCATCAATGTTGTCATTGTTTTATTATATTATGTAATAACTATTGTGTGTTGCTTTATTTATATATGCTGTGTTCATTTTTCTTCTTTTGAAATTTTTAATCTTAGCGCATTGATAATGGTTTTATTCTTATCTTTCCACTACTTTGCCCACTTGAGATGGAGGATAACACAATTTCACTAAAACCAAAACACAAAAAGCAAAGCAAAACAAAACAAAAAGATTTTGAAAGAAACAAGCTTCATATGAATCATATGATTACAAAATAAGAACAATAATTCTTAATACCAACACATCAGAAAACAAAACACGAAACAATAATTCCTAATACAATTTAAGAACACAATATACAGGCACAACACAAGAAAGATTCCAGCTGTACCTTTGCTAATCAAGCCCTTACGAAATCTCTACATACACATTTGAAAGAAAATTAAAAAAACCAGACCATTGATCGAATCAGAATCGATCCACTTGCTAAAGCAGTTTTCTCCGCTTGCCTGATCAAATTCGGAAAACATCCGTCTGGAATCTCTCATCATACAACCTCCAATGGCCATACCTCTCACTGTGGAAGATTGACCTGGGGATGTAGAAATTAGGCTTCTTGATAGTCTTCAAATTCTTTAAATTTGATGATGTATTGACGATGTCACGACTAGTCATGTTGGCACACCCAGAGAGATCCAAATATTCAAGGTTCGGGCAGCCTTCACAAATCAAAACGAGGCCTTTTGCTGATAATTTGGAGAATCGAAGTTCAACGTGGAGCAGATGAGGCATGAACTTCCCAATTGCGGCAGCCTCTGAATCCCCGTCTTGAGGGCAAGCATTCAGATATGCTTCAGGGACAATTCCTACGTGTTGAGAAGGATCCAACCAATTCATGAAGTTCCTTTTCAGAATTTTGAGGTCGCGGCAATTCTTTCCTATCAGTGCCAAAGATTCGTGAGATATTTCGTAACAGTAGCTAACGTCAAGTTCCCTGAGCTTGGGGCACCCTGAAGCTATCTTAGCAATGGATTCATCGGTCACATTTGGGCTGCTCTTAATTGAAAGAACCTGAAGGTTCGGGCACCTGACATGCAATTAGGGAAGAAAAACAAATTCATCATTCAAACCTAAACCAACATTGCAACAATCATTAGCAATGAAAATTGTATTAGTATAAACCAATATCTTCAATCAAAACTAGTGTGACCATACAAAAAATAATTGGCAACAAATTAAACTTAAGAATAAAACTTCATTATTCAAACCTAAACTAACATTGCAACAATCATTAGCAATTTGTATTGGTAAAAATCAATGTCATCAATTTGCATTGGTAGGCAACAATTTAAACGTAGAAACATTCAAAACACCATCACCAGAAACACTAATACCCTAATGATTTATGTGCACTTTCCGAAACATAGTACACTTCAGATTCAAAATGGAGAATAGTGATCCAAAGTGCAGAGACAAAAATTTGAATTGCCAAGCCCGTTCCCATTCCATGTACCATAAATTAATGATCCACATTTCAGGTATAACATATACATTCAAAATAGCAGCTAAGATAGAATGAAACTACTTTCATCATCCAAACCTAAACTATAAACGTCAATCAATGGCAAAATGACAAGCCCAAAATAAAATCAAGTGATAACCCAATTTCACCATTGAAGTTTAACAGAAGCCATTACAGAGACACCAATGCATTAACACTAAACCGACCATACTGCCATCAATAACCACAACTCTACTATACAATGTAAGAGGAGCTAATTTGAGTCCACTAAATTAATTAGGCCCAATAGTCCAAGGTTAGTAGGCCTGAATTTATCGCAAGTCCAAGATTGGTGAGCCCGGATTTATCGCCATCAAACGGACTGAATGGCTTTAAGCCTCGAAAAGGTTCGGATCCACGAACTTAGAAACTTACTCGGGCCCGAACTCGAAAAGGTATTGAGCAAACCTAGAGATCCGAGGCACGCGGACTCGAAAGGGTTCGGATCCACGAACTTAGAGACTTACTTGGGCTAGGACTCGAAAAGGTATTGAGCAAACCTAGAGATCTGAGGCACTCGGACTCGAAAGGGTTCAGATCCATGAACCTAAAGATCCGAAGTACTTTGCTTCGAACGGATTCAGACGCAATCTAGAAGTCGCTCCATTAATGAATCCTAGAACACTTGCGGGCTCGGAACTTTCCGGGATCTACGCACCAGAACCATGGGCGTAATGGAGTCCGAACAAAAGACCTGATCCCGAGGACAGTGAGTGGAGATAAATTCACTCTTTGGTTAAACTAACCTATACCCGGGTCGAGGTGGCACGATCTAGGGGGGTCCTTGAGACTCGGCAATATTTGCGGCAGAGCGTTCTCTTGAACTACCCCTGACCCTTATGCGGCAGGACGTCTTCTGGGACTACCCCTGACCCTTTGGGATGATTGGGGATCGTTGGTTAGGTGTGGCTAAGAAGAAGGGTTCGCCGAGAGGTTGATTTCCTCTTCGGGATTTTTCTCATCCTCGGAGAGGTCACCTCCTCGAACAAGATGGTTAGAGAGAATATTCCCCATGTGCCTTGCACATGGGCTCCATCCTACATCATGAGGTGTCTATAAATAACACCCACCCATAGCTTTACAAGAGATAGAATTTGGAGAGATAACTCTTGAGAAAGAACTAATTTCTCATCTCCATTATCAACCTTAAGAATGAAAGTGGAAGATCCATAGAAGAGCCTTGCCATTATTCTCTTTCTAGCTATTTTGCCTTCTTCTTCACCCAATCTCTAATCTCCATCATCTCCTTTACTCTTGTGTTCTTGAGTTGAGACTATTGAAGAATCTAAGCCTCTCATCATATTCTAGAGAATTCGAAACGTGGACCTATTGTTGCTGCTGCCTGACTCGGCATATTTTTGCGGCAGGACGTCCTCTGGGACTACCCCTGACCCTTTGGGATGATTGGGGATCATTGGTTAGGTGTGGCTAAGAAGAAGGGTTCGCCGAGGGATTGATCTCCTCTTCGGGGTTTTCTCATCCTCGGAGAAGTCACCTCCTCGGAGAGGTCACCTCCTCGGACAAGGTGGTTAGAGAGAATATTCCCCATGTGCCTTGCACATGGGCTCCATCCTACATCATGAGGTGTCTATAAATAACACCCACCCATAGCTTTACAAGAGATAGAATTTGGAGAGATAACTCTTGAGAAAGAACTAATTTCTCATCTCCATTATCAACCTTAAGAATGAAAGTGGAAGATCCATAGAAGAGCCTTGCCATTATTCTCTTTCTAGCTACTTTGCCTTCTTCTTCGCCCAATCTCTAATCTCCATCATCTCATTTACTCTTGTGTTCTTGAGTTGAGACTATTGAAGAATCTAAGCCTCTCATCATCTTCTAAAGAATTCGAAGTTGTTCTTCACGGATTTTCGAAGATCTTCGAATTTTCCAACAACGTTCTTGAACCCCCTCATACATACAACAACCAAAATTTAGAAATATACCAGAAATTGTGATCAGGACAAAAACTAGATTGCATAGAGGAAAACAACGATAAAAAATCAAACTTGAAAATACACTTTTATTTGTATCTTGATTTTGTCAAGGGATTTGGAAAATCCCTACCGTAAAGAAATTTTGAAGGAAAGCCTTAATCATGATCCCATCATACACAGCCAATTCAAAAAACAATCATTGAAGCCAAAACACTAAGTACAATCAATTGCAGAACAGATATAACTCAGGTGTACACTCAAATCAAAACCCATTTTTAATCATCCAATACCAAATTCCATCCAACAAAAATTCAACCAAAATTATTAAGATCCAAACCCCCTAACCCTAATCCGAGGACAAAATAAACATATACCTTTGAGCAACAAATGAGAGAGAGCGATCGGAGCAGTGTCTGATGCGAATCTCCGTGAGAGATCCATCACTATATTCAACGACAGATCGGAGCATGGAATCGATTCTTCTCTCGAACTGAGTGGTCCACCAGAGAGGAGACTCGGCGACCGAGTCAAAGTGAGTTTGGAGGTCGAAGAGCGAGTGAAGACGGGGGTCTTGGGAAGCTTGGAACCATGATTTGCAGACAAACATGGATCGAGTCCATCGGTCTTCCAAGGTGAGGCGAGAGAGGATGTTGATGAGGCACTCGTGAGTCAACTCGGCCCAATCGGAACTGAGTCCTGACTCGCTTCCTCCTCCTTTGTTGTCGTCCATTTTTTGGAAGGGTACCTTTGAGAAGGAAATGTTTTTCTTGGGTTCGGTGGGTGGGTAAGCAGACTGAGTGGATATTCAGCCACGTGTCAAGATTACGAACTTCATAACTTTCTGACCATGCCAAGCATTTTGAAAAAATAAAAGGATAAATTACACTGATGTCACTGAAGTTTATATTTATTATAATTTTTTTCTCACATTTAAAAAATTATATTGATTTTTTTGTTAATTTAATTTTATGTATGATAATTATTACAGTGAGCGGGGAACTCTTATGAAACTTTAAACCTCAGGGGGTAATCTATAATGAAACTTTAAGCCTCAGGAAGGGAGATGTAATTTTTAAAAGATGAGAGGGGAACTATAATAAATATAAACCTCAGGGAGTGTCAATGTAATTTACCCAAAATAAAAAATAAAAAATAATTATTTAAAAGTCCTATCTACATATTTGGTAATAGCTTATGTCCTAGCAAAAAAATTTTAAACTAATAAATCCTATTTACAGGTTAAAAGACGTTTTTGCCCTTTAATCCAAACCAGTGTATATATAATAGCATTGACGTTATTTACCAAGAGGAGAAAACAAGTAAGTTATGGAAATAGATGAAGATTCGAATCGCGAAGGCTCTTGAGGGATTTCTTGGCTTGGTTCGCTATTATAGATAAAGTGATTTCTCGGTTTTGACAGATTCGTAATTGAGGCCTCTTGAGTTGAAATCTATTGGAGTTTGTTATGTGTGATTTGGAGTTATAAATTGAAGAACTGATCTGCTGGTTTATAGGTATGTATTGTTTCGATTTTGTATAGATATGTATTGTTTCAATTTTATATGTATGTATGGTTTATAGGTATGTATTGTGTTGATTTTATAAATTGAAGAATTGTTATTTATTTTTTTTAGAATTTTCTTTAGTTTTGATTGAATTTATTTATAAGAATATGTTAAATAATTTGGATTTAATTTATTTATAAGAATATGTTAAATAATTTGGATTTTTACGAATTGAATACGTGATTTGCTAGATGATTTCTCGGTTTGGTTTGGTATTTTATGAATTGAAAACGTGATTTGTGAAAACTGAGAAAGTTCTTGGTATTGTTTGAAGTATTTGTTCTGGTTTTGTAGTTTCAATAAACTGAGTATTATACTAGTTTTTATTGATGTGATCTTTTTTTTTTTTAGATTGAAAGATGAGTCAAGGTTCTACGAGTGCGCCGATTTTTTGTTGTGCAAGTATAATGGTTGCACATTTACAATTAAGATTGATCGGAATGTTACATATGATCAGTTGGTTGATAAGCTATGTTTGAAATGTGATAGTTTGCAATCTGATGACATTTACCTATCTTACTCATTGCCTGGACATCCTAGTTGTACGTTGGACAATAATGAGGAGTTAGAATTATTGTTGGCATTAGTTGTGCATTTTGATTCAAAATGTATTGATGTTGTTGTGAGAGAAAAAAACTCAACCATTGACTGTGGTAATCTCAACAAAAGATTGGATTATGGAGAAAGAGAATCAATGTTGGAGCTTGAAGTTTGTGATATTGCATTGCCTCATGACAACAATAAGTCTGTGAACTTGTCAAATAGAGCATCTACATCATCCAATAGGAATTCGAGGTTAGAGGTTGAAGAAAAGGTTAATATGTTATCATCATTTTGTCGACACAAGGAAAAAGTGTTGTTGTCTACTGGTTGGACAGTTAATATTACACATATAGGATAGAAATTTGAAAGTGGAATTGTTGAATTTCATAATGCATTGTCAAAATTTTCTATTAAGTGTGGATTTGAGTTCATATTTGTTAAGTATGATAAAGTTCGTGTTGCCGCACGATGTTTTTTTAGAGAGACAAAAGGTTGTACGTGGAATGTTCATGGTAAAGTGGAGAATGCTAATGGGTTCTTTTATATAAGGAAGCTCAACAATGTCCACACATGTGGCGCTGAAGTACGTACAATGAATCATTCTCGTATGAGTTCTGATTTAGTTGCTGATTTGATTGTTGAAGGTGTTCGTGATAATCCATTGACAAGTCCAGTTCATGTTGTTCGGGATTTTAAGTTGGGGTATGGGCTGAGAGTTAGTTATCGTCAAGCTTGGTTGGGGGTAGAGAAAGCAAAGGGTGATATTTTTGGAGACTACTTAATGTCATTTGACCAGTTAAGATGGTATGTTGATGTTGTAAAGAGTTGCAATCCAAGGAGTTACATTGAGTTTGAGTGTGACGATGATACTAAACGGTATAAGAGATTATTTACTTTTCATGGTTCCATTAGTGGATTTGATTATTGTTGACCTCTCTTGTTCCTTGATGGCATATTTTTTTAAGGAAGATTTAGAGGAAATTTACTTGCCGCTACAGGAAAAGATGGAAATCAAGGTACATAAGAAATCTATTTTCTCTGTTCTGGAATTGAGAAAGTTCTCAGTTTAGAAATATGATTGAATTTTTAAAATTTTATATAATATTATTGTTGTATATGCATTTTTTATTTTTACAGCTACTTATTTTAGTGGTTGATATTTTGAATGTTAAAGCGTTACCGTTTTCTAAGAATAATAGAATATTCTCATTTTTTTTGTTTTGCAGATGCAGTTTCTTCCTTGTTTGTTTTGGAATTGTTGGCTCAAAGAATCAAAACAACTAGCGTTGGTTTTTGGAGCATTTGAGTAAAATTGTTTCACCAGAACGAAATATTACATTCGTGTCAGATCATAACCTTGGATTCGTTGAAGTTTTGCCAAAGGTTTTCCTAACGGCTTTCCATGCTTATTGTTTATATCATTTGAAGATGAATTTGAGGCATCATTTGTGTGGTATGCTTCATGGATTGAAAGAAAAACTGATCACTTTGTTTGGGAAATGTGCATATGCTCCAATTGAAGAAACATTTCATCAATGTTTGGTTGAGTTAAAGACTGAAGGTGGGTCAAGAGTTGAAAAGTTTTTAGATGACATACCATATGATCATTAGAGTAATGCATATTTTCGAGGGCAACGCTTTGGAGAGATGTGGTCGAATGTAGCTGAATCTTTCAATTCGTGGATACGGGAGGAACGCCATTTGCGTATCACAAAGTTGATTGATAGTGTAAGAATTAAGCTGATGAGGAAAATTGTTAAAAGGAGAGAGCTTGTTAATAAATGGAATGGTGTGATATGCCCCAAAATGGAGTCCAAGTTAAATGATGCTTTTAATACTTCAAGGCCATGGATTGTTAGTTCATCTGGAAATGATGTCTATGAGGTGCATTCACATCCATCTGTTTCAATCGACATTAGTAGACGAATATGTTCTTGTGGCGAGTGGCAGTTGAATGGGTTTCCATGTGCATATGGAGTTGGTGCTATACAAAAGAGTGGACATGATTTGAGTTTATTTGTTGATCAATACTTCTAAATTCAAAGTTATCGAGAGTCCTATTCTTTTCCAATATATCTTGTTCCTTCAATTTGGAAACCATATTGTAATATTGATGGTGATAGTGATGTTCTTCCTGCTTTGTGTAGGAAGCAACCAGGAAGGCCAAATAAGAAAAGGTTCGTTCCAATGGTAAGAAAGTGAGGCAAATTACTTGTGGTAGATGTGGGAAGGTTGGTAATCACAATAAGAAATCGTGTAATGAGGCTTTGTGATTTTTTGTAGGTGATTTGTGATTGTAAAAATTTCATATTCATAAATTTCTTTAAGTAGTAGTTTGTACTATTGAGAGCTGAATAATAATCTTCTACGTTTTCAATAAAGTGACATTGAATTGAAAGTGAAAATATTCTCAATTTCAAATTTTAGTTTGGAAATTGTTTGTGATAATATTGTTTGGTTGGCTTTGTATTTGTTTTTAATGTGAATTATTTGTTTGGTTGGCTTTTGTAAATAGACTTGACTGTTGAATGTTTGTTTTGAAGATTATGTGAATACTGTATAAAGAGTGAATATATTCTCAGTTTAGGTTTTTAGTTCAAAATAGCTGATTTTGTGATAATAGTGTAAGGCTCTTGTTAAGAATTGGAACTAGTTATAAATGTGATCAATTGAATGAATGTGAATTAATATTCTAAATAGATGTGATCAATGCTCTATGCTTTGAATAAAGTAACAGTGAACTGAAAGTGAAAATATTATTTGTTTCGAATTTTAGTTTTTCAAATTGTGATAATATTGTGAGACAACAAATAAATTGTGTTGATAATATTGTTGTTTTGAGAATTGAGTGAACACTGTATAAAACTGAAAATATTCTCAGTTTTAAGTTTTTAACTTCAAAATAAGTAGATGTGATAATATTGTGAGACGACAAAACACTACATAAAAACTAAAAATATAAACAAAAACATCAACAAAGCACTAATTGTGATACAGTAAAGTCTTGTGTCCATTATTTTCACATGTAACACTATTTTCAGTTTTCCTATATAGTAGTGTAAGGAAGAAAATAATGGAAACTGAAAATATGGACAAAAACATCAAGAGAAGCCCTGGTGCATATATCTTTGAGAGTATGACAAAATATTCCATTACACATCATAGAAATTATAATATGTTTGTGAGGCAATATGCTTGCAACTATCAACAAAAACATTAGTCATTGTATCAAAGTGTGACAAAAAAGAGTTCACTGAGTTACACAACAAAAAGATTCATTGAATGTTGCAATCCTGTCACTTGACTTTGATTGATCTTTATGGATCACTGAGGAACTCATGTACCATGTCTACTCTCAGTGTTGTGCATGTGCCTAGTGGTAATGTGTTTGGAATTGGTTAATGTCTTATGTATTGTATTATGATGTAGCAAACAATAATTCCACAATCTTCCATACAGAAATTATTTTTCACACAATTAGGGAAAAAACAAAATTTTTTGAAAAAGATATTAAAATTGGTTGGTTACAATAAACATAACATGCATCATTGCTTCTTGTTGAGGGTTGTCTTTGATTGATTCAATCTTCACATCAGGATTCCATGTTTTTTCTGCTTGACAAGGTGTATCCTTCATGTATTTATTGATGATTAT